ACGATTTTCCTGCTTTTCCATTTTTACGAAAACCACAGAGGCGTCTTGTTCAGCGTGCTGTCAAACCTACACTAGCAAGGAGATCGGGCTGAAACTATAGCTACAAGCTATCCAAGGATGGTACTATAGAATGTCACCTCAAGGTAGGCCTAGTGGCGTCATCTCTTGGTTAGGCCGGAAACTTATCAATCCACCCTCGTATATCCTTTTGTATCTTCGTTTTATAGAAAATATACCACTTGCCAATGTTTTAAGGCTAGCATTCAATTTTAATGATAAACATAGGATGGCGATTAATGAGGTTCTTTAACTTCCTGAATTAATTGTGAGTTATTAAAACTTCTGATATGCTTTAAAGACCTTTCCTTTTACAAAATAATTAACTGTCCTACCTTTTTGATGCCACCAAGGAATCATATTTCCATAATCGGTTTCCATCATGACAGGAGACCTCCCGTGGCTGCACATTTCACTAAAAACACACACTGAAACAGAAACATATTTTGCCATTAGTAACCAATTTAATGTAGGTGTTTTAAACATATTATGACAAGCGAGACAATTATTTTGAAATAGTAGTGGTGTACAAAATACCCTCTTGCCAATAAGGGTACTTTTTCCCATATATAAAAGGTCTTATCAGGAGTTAAACGAATGTCGGTTGACCTCAAAAAATCCAAATTTTACCGTTGTTGTTGCGCTGTTGCTGTAAATCCCCGAAATATGTATTTAGTACTTCCCCGGTCGTATTAACTAGAGGAATACCTTTTTATTTGTGTATTCAGTTCAGATAGGTACCTAAAAGTGTTGTACTATCTGCTGTCTTTATATATGCCCTAAGTAGTATTTTATGAACACGTTGTTCTTGAAACAAGAAATTTCTGAACAAGAACACGACAAGATAAGAATTTCCTTACGAATTCTTGTCGAATAATTTGTAAGAAGCAAGAATTCTTGCTTTTTGGATACAAGTTTACGATGTTTCGAAATAAATTTTAACTATTAATGTAAATAACTTCAAAAATATATAACATTTAAATTTATGATTTTTTGATATCTTCCACGAATTTAAACAAATCAGACTTGGAAACTCCCTAAGCCACCAAGAGCAAGGAATAACAAGAGTTTTGACAAGAATCTAGCAAGCAAGAAATTGACAAAACAGGAAATAAAACAAATTCAAGTTATCAAACGAGGCAAGAAACCTTGTTTTAAGCATTACTAGGCCTAAAAGATTTTTGCACATATCAATTCATAGTTTATAGTTCATTCAAGTTTACTTCAGTCCCTGAAGAAGGTAACTTTGTTACCGAAAAGTGCTTTGGACAACTACAGTGTCTTGTTTTGGCGTTGGGGTTTTGAGCTATTCTGTTTGTTCTAC